ACCCCTGCGGGCCAGGGAAAGGGGGCTGGGCGATCCCCGGGGGTAGGGAAATGGGGCTGGGAAATGGGGCTGGGGGATCCTTGTGGGATAGGGAAATGGGGTTGGGGGATCTTCGGGGGCAGGGAAATGGGGTTGGGGGATCCTCAGGGGACAGGGAAATGGGGCTGGGGGATCCTCAGGGACAGGGAAATGGGGCTGGGGGATCCCTGTGGGATAGGGAAATGGGGCTGGGGGATCCTCGGGGATAGGGAAATGGGGCTGGGGGATCCGTGGGGGATAGGGAAATGGGGCTGGGAAACGGGGCTGGGGGATCCTCGGGGACAGGGAAATGGGGCTGGGGGATCCCTGTGGGATAGGGAAATGGGGCTGGGGGATCCTCGGGGATAGGGAAATGGGGCTGGGGGATCTTCTGGGGACAGGGAAATGGGGCTGGGGGATCCCCGTGGGATAGGGAAATGGTGCTGGGGGATCCCCGTGGGATAGGGAAATGGGGCTGGGGGATCCTTGTGGGATAGGGAAATTGGGCTGGGAAATGGGGCTGGGGGATCTCCATGGAATAGAGAAATGGGGCTGGGGGCTCTGCATGGGATCCCAAAATGGGTCTGGGGGCTCCCAGCTTTTCCCAGCCTGCTCAAGATAAAAATGTCCTGGGGGGGGACATTAAAAAGGGCCAGGGGGCTCCCCTGGGACCCCAAAATGGGTCTGGGGGCTCCCCCCTGAGCGCTGCCCCCTCCCCAGCCTGCTCAAGGACAGAACAGCCTGGGGGGACCCCAAAAAGGGTCTGGGGGCTCCCCCCTGAGCGCTGCCCCCTCCCCAGCCTGCTCAAGGCCTACGATGAGCACCAGAAGATCCTGAAGGCGCACGCGGCCCGGAAACGGGCGCCCGAGAACGGGTGAGACCCCGGCACCCCAAAAACGGCCCCAAAATCAGCCCAAAACGGCCCCAAAATCAGCCCTAAAATGGCCCAAAATCAGCCCCAAAAACGGCCCCAAAAACGGCCCCAAATTCGGCCCCAAATGACCCAAAATCAGCCCCAAAAACGGCCCCAAAATCAGCCCAAAACGGCCCCAAAATCAGCCCTAAAATGGCCCAAAATCACAAAACGGCCCCAAAATCTGCCCCAAAAACGGCCCCAAAATCAGCCGTAAAATGGCCCAAAATCAGCCCCAAAATGACCCAAAATCAGCCCCAAAATGACCCAAAATCAGCCCCAAAATGGCCCAAAATCAGCCCCAAACTGGCCCCAAAATCAGCCCCAAAATGGCCCCAAAATGGCCCAAAATCAGCCCCAAAATGACCCAAAAACGGCCCCAAAATCAGCCCAAAACGGCCCCAAAATCAGCCCTAAAATGGCCCAAAATCAGCCCCAAAAACGGCCCCAAAAACGGCCCCAAATTCGGCCCCAAATGACCCAAAATCAGCCCCAAAAACGGCCCCAAAATCAGCCCAAAACGGCCCCAAAATCAGCCCTAAAATGGCCCAAAATCAGCCCCAAAATGGCACCAAAATCAGCCCCAAAAACGGCCCCAAAATCAGCCCAAAACGGCCCCAAAATCAGCCCTAAAATGGCCCAAAATCAGCCCCAAAATGGCACCAAAATCAGCCCCAAAAACGGCCCCAAAATCAGCCCAAAACGGCCCCAAAATCAGCCCTAAAATGGCCCAAAATCAGCCCCAAAATGGCACCAAAATCAGCCCCAAAAACGGCCCCAAAATCAGCCCAAAACGGCCCCAAAATCAGCCCTAAAATGGCCCAAAATCAGCCCCAAAATGGCACCAAAATCAGCCCCAAAAACGGCCCCAAAATCAGCCCAAAACGGCCCCAAAATCAGCCCTAAAATGGCCCAAAATCAGCCCCAAAATGGCACCAAAATCAGCCCCAAAAACGGCCCCAAAATCAGCCCAAAACGGCCCCAAAATCAGCCCTAAAATGGCCCAAAATCAGCCCCAAAATGGCACCAAAATCAGCCCCAAAAACGGCCCCAAAATCAGCCCAAAACGGCCCCAAAATCAGCCCTAAAATGGCCCAAAATCAGCCCCAAAATGGCACCAAAATCAGCCCCAAAAACGGCCCCAAAATCAGCCCAAAACGGCCCCAAAATCAGCCCTAAAATGGCCCAAAATCAGCCCCAAAATGGCACCAAAATCAGCCCCAAAAACGGCCCCAAAATCAGCCCAAAACGGCCCCAAAATCAGCCCTAAAATGGCCCAAAATCAGCCCCAAAATGGCACCAAAATCAGCCCCAAAAACGGCCCCAAAATCAGCCCAAAACGGCCCCAAAATCAGCCCTAAAATGGCCCAAAATCAGCCCCAAAATGGCACCAAAATCAGCCCCAAAAACGGCCCCAAAATCAGCCCAAAACGGCCCCAAAATCAGCCCTAAAATGGCCCAAAATCAGCCCCAAAATGGCACCAAAATCAGCCCCAAAAACGGCCCCAAAATCAGCCCAAAACGGCCCCAAAATCAGCCCTAAAATGGCCCAAAATCAGCCCCAAAATGGCACCAAAATCAGCCCCAAAAACGGCCCCAAAATCAGCCCAAAACGGCCCCAAAATCAGCCCTAAAATGGCCCAAAATCAGCCCCAAAATGGCACCAAAATCAGCCCCAAAAACGGCCCCAAAATCAGCCCAAAACGGCCCCAAAATCAGCCCTAAAATGGCCCAAAATCAGCCCCAAAATGGCACCAAAATCAGCCCCAAAAACGGCCCCAAAATCAGCCCAAAACGGCCCCAAAATCAGCCCTAAAATGGCCCAAAATCAGCCCCAAAATGGCACCAAAATCAGCCCCAAAAACGGCCCCAAAATCAGCCCAAAACGGCCCCAAAATCAGCCCTAAAATGGCCCAAAATCAGCCCCAAAATGGCACCAAAATCAGCCCCAAAAACGGCCCCAAAATCAGCCCAAAACGGCCCCAAAATCAGCCCTAAAATGGCCCAAAATCAGCCCCAAAATGGCACCAAAATCAGCCCCAAAAACGGCCCCAAAATCAGCCCAAAACGGCCCCAAAATCAGCCCTAAAATGGCCCAAAATCAGCCCCAAAATGGCACCAAAATCAGCCCCAAAAACGGCCCCAAAATCAGCCCAAAACGGCCCCAAAATCAGCCCTAAAATGGCCCAAAATCAGCCCCAAAATGGCACCAAAATCAGCCCCAAAAACGGCCCCAAAATCAGCCCAAAACGGCCCCAAAATCAGCCCTAAAATGGCCCAAAATCAGCCCCAAAATGGCACCAAAATCAGCCCCAAAAACGGCCCCAAAATCAGCCCAAAACGGCCCCAAAATCAGCCCTAAAATGGCCCAAAATCAGCCCCAAAATGGCACCAAAATCAGCCCCAAAAACGGCCCCAAAATCAGCCCAAAACGGCCCCAAAATCAGCCCTAAAATGGCCCAAAATCAGCCCCAAAATGGCACCAAAATCAGCCCCAAAAACGGCCCCAAAATCAGCCCAAAACGGCCCCAAAATCAGCCCTAAAATGGCCCAAAATCAGCCCCAAAATGGCACCAAAATCAGCCCCAAAAACGGCCCCAAAATCAGCCCAAAACGGCCCCAAAATCAGCCCTAAAATGGTCCACTTTTCCTCCCTAATTTCCCCCCAAATTCCCCCCCAGCTCAGACGAACCCGACGACAAACGGCTCCGTCCCGACGCCCCCTCGGGGCTCCCGGGACCCCTCAACTTTTCCGGGGGGGACCCCAACCCCTCCTACAACTACTGGTACCAGGTGGGTGTTTTTTGGGGGGTGGGTTGGGGGTCTCCGGGGGGGGTCTCCAGGCTGATCCCCCTCCCCTTTGATCCCCCTCCCCAGCACGGCTACGGCACCTACGGCTACCAGAGCCCCTGGGGCTACGGCCACTACTACGGGCAGAGCTGAGGGGGTCTGCACCCCGCCCTGTACAGACTGTGGGACCCCTCCCCCAAAATTTGGGGTGGGGGGGCGTTGTAAATAAAGAGGCTGCGAGGAGTTACCCGAGGTTGGTTGGTTTTTGGGGGGGTTTTATTTGATTTCGGGGGGCTTTCGTCCGGTTCTGGGGGCTCCCAGCAGGTTTTGGGGTACCCCAGGGTGGATTTTGGGGTTCCCCCCAAGGATTTTTGGGGTGGTCCAGGTGGATTTTGGGATCCCAGCGTGGATTCTGAGGCACCCCCAACAGATTTTGGGGTGCTCCAAGAGGGATTTGGGGCTGTCCACAGCAGATTCCAGGCACGTTTTGGGGTGCTCCAGTGGATCTGGAGGTGCCCCAAACGGATTTTGGGGTGTTCCAGGTGAATTCAGAGGTGCCCAGGTGGATTCCAAGCCTCTTTCTGAATTTTGAGCTGCTCCCAACAGATTTTGGGGTGCTCCAGGTGAATTCAGAGGTGCCCATGTGGATTCCAAGCTTCCTTCTCAATTTTGAGCTGCTCCCAACAGATTTTGGGGTGCTCCAGGTGGATTTGCATGTCCTCCAAACGGATTTTGGGGTGCTCCAGGTGGATTTGCATGTCCTCAGGTGGATCTGGAGGTGCCCCAAATGGATTTTGAGGTGCTCCAGGTGGATTTTGAAGGTTCCTCAAACAGATTTTGGGGTGCTCCACGTGGATTTTGGGGTGCCCAGGTGGATTTTGGGGTGCCCAGGTAGATTTTGGGGTGCCCCCAGCAGACGTTTCGCTGCCCGGGCTCCATTCCGTGCTGCTCCAGCTGCTCCCACAGCCGATCCCTTGCAGACTCGGGGTCCCCCCGTGCCGATGTGGAGGTCCCCCGTGCCGATGTGGGGGTCCCCCCGTGCCGATGTGGGGGTCCCCCGCGGCTCTGGGGGTCTCTAGAAGCCCCTCTGGAGCAGCCACTGCCGCAGCTGCGGCCCCCAGTGCCCCCTGAGCCGCAGCGTCCCCGTCACCTCGTTCACCTGCGCCGCCACCTCGGGGACCCCCAGCGAGCCCAGGAACGCCCTCAGGTCCCGCTCCAGCGCCTGGGGGGGAGCAGGGGGGGTCAGGGGGAGCCCCCCGAGCCCCCCGGAGCCCCCCCGGAGCCCCCCGCTCACCCAGATGTCGCCGTGGATGCGGCGCAGCTCCGTGAGGCGCCGGCCCTGCCGCAGCCCCAGGTACACGGGCAGGTTGTGCAGCCGCGAGCGCCGCACCGAGTAGGGCAGGTCCGGGGGGGCCCCTGCGGGAATTAGCACCCCCCGGGGGTAATTAGCACCCCCCGGGGGTAATTAACACCCTCCCCGGGTAATTAGCACCCTCCCGGCGGAATTAACAACTCCCTGGAGGAATCTCACCCACTCCGCCCTTAAGTAAATGCTCTTTGCTGCTTGGTTTGGAATCAGTAATTCCTCCTTCAAGGGAATATTTTGGGGTCCCACCGGGGTAATTAACATCCCCCGGGGGTAATTAACATCCCCCGGAGCTAATTAACACCATCCTGGGGTAATTAACACCGTCCCGGGGAATCTCACCCACTCCGCCTTTAAATAAATGCTCTTTGCTGCTTGGTTTGGAATCAGTAATTCCTCCTTCAAGGGAATATTTGGGGTCTCTGAGGGGTAATTAACACCCCCAAACGGTAATGAACACCCCCCGGGGGTAATTAGCACCCCCCGGGAGTAATTAACACCCCCCGGGGGTAATTAGCACCCTCCCACGGGAATCTCACCCACTCCACCATTAAGTAAATTCTTTTCACTACTTGGTTTGGAATCAGTAATTCCTCCTTCAAGGGAATATCTTGGGGTCCCTGAGGGGCAATTAACACCCCCAAGTGGTAAACACCACCCTGGGGTAATTAACACCGTCCCGGGGAATCTCACCCACTCCGCCTTTAAATAAATTCTCTTTGCTGCTTGGTTTGGAATCAGTAATTCCTCCTTCAAGGGAATATTTTGGCTCCGCAGAGGGTAATTAACATCCAGAAGTGGTAATTAACACCCCCCGGAGTAATTAACACTCGCCTGAAGGAATTCAGTGCACCCTGGGGCAATTCGAGCCAGTTCGGGGTAAATAAATCCTCTTTGTTATTGGGGTTGGGGTGAGCAATTCCCTCGTCAAAGGAATATTTTGGGTTCCCCCCGGGGTAATTAACACTGTCCGGGGCTAATTAAGCCGTCCCCAGGGGTAATTAAGCCCCCGAGGGTAATTAACCACCTCCCACAAAGTCATGAAGCTCCCCCAGACTCAATAACCCATTAACGAATTCCCACTCCGGGGTAAATCACCCCTTTCCCCCCCGGAGCTAATTAACCCCCCCAGGGTTAATTACCCGGTCTTAGCACCCCCCGGGGGTAATTAACACCCTCCCCGGGTAATTAGCACCCTCCCGGCGGAATTAACAACTCCCTGGAGGAATCTCACCCACTCCGCCCTTAAGTAAATGCTCTTTGCTGCTTGGTTTGGAATCAGTAATTCCTTCTTCAAGGGAATATTTGGGGTCCCCCGAAGGTAATTAACATCCCCCGGGGGTAATTAACATCCCCCGGAGCTAATTAACACCATCCTGGGGTAATTAACACCGTCCCGGGGAATCTCACCCACTCCGCCTTTAAATAAATGCTCTTTGCTGCTTGGTTTGGAATCAGTAATTCCTCCTTCAAGGGAATATTTGGGGTCTCTGAGGGGTAATTAACACCCCCAAACGGTAATGAACACCCCCCGGGGGTAATTAGCACCCCCCGGGAGTAATTAACACCCCCCGGGGGTAATTAGCACCCTCCCACGGGAATCTCACCCACTCCACCATTAAGTAAATTCTTTTCACTACTTGGTTTGGAATCAGTAATTCCTCCTTCAAGGGAATATCTTGGGGTCCCTGAGGGGCAATTAACACCCCCAAGTGGTAATTAACACCCCCCTGGGGAAATTAACACCCCCCCCGGGTAATTAACACTCTCCCCAAATGACCCCATCCCACCCTGCCTTAAATAAATTCTCTTCCTTGCTCGGTTTGGAATCACTAATTTCTCTTCAAGGGAATATTTTGGGGTCCCCCGAGGTTAATTAACACCCCCCGGGGTAATTAACACCCCCCCGAGGGAACTCAACCCCCCCTGGGGCAATTCGAGCCAGTTCGGGGTAAATAAATCCTCTTTGTTCCAAAAACAACCCTCCAATCACCCCCAGACTGCCCCTCCCTCACCTCCCCCCCTTTCCTGGGGGTCCCCCTCCCCCTTCCAGGGGGTTCCCCCCATTTTTTGGGCGGTGGGGACTGGTGAAAAACAGATTAAAAAATTTAAAAAGTTTTTATTTTGATACCTTATTTCCCGGTTTACGGTGCTTTGCCTGCGGTTCGGTATCAAAATCCCCGCGCGTTCCCGTGACTCCGCCGCTTCTGGCTTCTCCCTCACGTCCCCTCACAGCGCGCCGCAAAATGGCGGCGCCGTCCCCGCGCTGCTTCCTGAGGTTAAACTCCGTCATTTCTCCGCTTTCTGGGTGAAACTGGAGTTTTGTGCGGGTGACAATAAATATTTACAGTGTTAAAAGGGTGTAATGGGAGATTTTGAAGGGTTTTAGTGAATGAATCCGTGAGGGGAGCTGGGAACAGCAAGGGGAGGCTGTGGAGTTTCCTGAGGGAAACGCGGCCCAGTCTCCGCCTCCGCGCTTCCCCCGCGCCGGCTCCCAATTCAAACTAGACAAGTTTCGTTTATTTTCTGTATTTCACACGTTTTTAACCCATTTCCCCCGACCAGCGCGCCGCGCGCTCTCTCCGCTTCATCCACCGAAACAAAATGGCGGCGGCGCGGCGGGCGGGAAACTGCGCGTGAGGCGAGCGCCCCCTCCGCCCTCAGCCGCCAATCGGAGCGCGGCTTTTCGCCGTCGCTGGGCAGAACAGCGCGGCCGGGGCCAATCAGAAAATCCGAGCGGCTGGCGCAGGCCGCGCGCGGGGAGGGAAGGAGGGGAAGAGGCGAAGCCGCCGCCACACTCGCAGCGACCGTTGCGCACGTAGGTGGGGCTGAGGGGGAGGGAGGGGGACACCGGCGACAGCGCCTGCGCGCGGCGCCAGCCGCCCGCCCCGCGCATGCGCCGCGCCTGCGCGGTGCGGCGGCGCGGGCAGGAGGAGGACGAGGAAGCGCTGCTCGCCGATGAGGACGAAGCGGCCGCCGCGGCCCCCGAGGCGGCCCCGGCCCAGCCCGGCCCCCCCGGGGAGGAGGAGGAGGAGGAGGAGGAGGAGGAAGAGGAGGCGGCCCCGGCCGAGCCCGCGGGGTCGGAGCCGCTGCAGCCGCCGCAGGAGGAGGGAGCGGCGGCCGCGGCCGAGGCTGAGGCGGCCGAGGGAGGAGGAGGAGGCGGCGGCGGCGTGAACGGGGCCGAGCGGCCGCCGGAGGAGGCGCCCAGCGGGGATGAAGCGGCCGCGGCCGAGGCCAAGGAGGAGGAGGCGGCGGCGGGTGAGCGATGGGGGAGAGCCGGGACCGGGGGGGGAACCGGGAATGGAACCCCGGGAACCGGGAATGGAACCCCGGGAACCGGGAGGGAAACCGGGAATGGAACCCCGAGAACCGGGAATGGAACCCCGAGAACCGGGAGGGAAACCGGGAATGGAACCCCGGGAACCGGGGGGGAACCGGGAATGGAACCTCGGGAACCGGGAATGGAACCCCGGGGACCGGGAGGGAAACCGGGAATGGAATCCCGGGAACCGGGGGGCAACCGGGAAAGGAACCCCGGGAACCGGGAATGGAACCTCGGGAACCGGGAATGGAACCCCGGGAACCGGGAAAGGAACTCCGGGAACCGGGAATGGAACCCCAGGAACCGGGGGGGAACCGGGAATGGAACCTCGGGAACCGGGAATGGAACCCCGGGGACCGGGAGGGAAACCGGGAATGGAATCCCGGGAACCGGGGGGCAACCGGGAAAGGAACCCCGGGAACCGGGAATGGAACACCGGGACCGGGAGGGAACCGGGAATGGAACCCCGGGATCGTCGGGAAGGGATCGGGAAAGGAGCCCCCAGAACCGGGAACGGGATCCCCAAAAACCGGGAAAGGAACCCCGAGATCTTCGGGAAGGAATCCCCGGGACCGGGAGGAAAACCGGGAACGGAATTCCCAGGACCGGGAAAAGAGCCCCGAAAACCTCGGGAGGGAACCGGGAAAGGAGCCTTGGGATGCTCGGGAAAAACCCCAAAAACCGGGAGGAAAAACCGGGAAAGGCCCCGGAGCCTCGTGAGGGCCCCTCAGAAAATTCCCGGTTTTTCCCTCAAAATCCCAACCTCGGCCCCGGCCCCGTTCCCGGATTTTTGGGGGATAAAATCGGGATGGAATCGCGATAAAATCCGGCTAAAATCGCGATAAAATCCCCAAGTTCCCCACAGGGAAAATCGGGATTTGGGGGGAAAAAAAGCGGGAAAAATTTGAATTCTGAGGGATTTCCGTGGAGCCGCGGGTGAGGGGAAATCAATGGAGCTGCTGGAATTGAGGAATTCCGAGTTGGGATTTGGGAAAAATGGGAGGGAAAAATTTGGGTTTTTCAGGGAGAAATTTGGGATGGGGTTTGGAGGGAAAAATTCCTGATTTTTGTGGGTTTGTGAGGGGAAATTCTGATTTTTGTGGGTTTGTGAGGGAAAAATCCTGATTTTTGTGGAGATCCAAATCTCCGCCGCCGCCCGAGGAGGAGCCGCCGGAGGGGGAGGAGGACGAGACCCTGGTGATCCTGGACACCTGTACGGGAATTTTGGGCAATTTCGGGCAATTTTGGGCAATTTTGGGCAATTTTGGGCAATTTCTGGGATGAGCTGGGAGATTTCTTTTGGATTTTGAGGTTTTTTCCCAGGATTTATGGAATTTGGAGCCATTCTGGGGGGGATTCTTGGAATTTGGGGAGAGGTTTTGGGGCCATCTCCGTTTATTTGTGGGATTTGGGAGTTTTTTGGGGTGATTTGAGGTTTTTTTTGGATTTTTTTTGGGATGATTTGAGGTTTTTTAATTCTGATTTTTGTGAATTTCTGAGGGAAAAATCTTGGGTTTTGTGGATTTTTGAGGGAAAAATCCTGATTTTTGTGGATTTTTGAGGGGAAATTCTGATTTTTGTGGATTTCTGAGGGGAAATTTTGATTTTTGTGGATTTCTGAGGGGAAAATTCTGATTTTTGTGGATTTCTGAGGGGAAATTCTGATTTTTGTGGATTTTTGAGGGAAAATTCCTGATTTTTGTGGATTTTTGAGGGAAAATTCCTGATTTTTGTGGATTTTTGAGGGAAAATTCCTGATTTTTGTGGATTTTTGAGGGAAAAATTCTGATTTTTGTGGATTTTTGAGGAGGAAAATCCTGATTTTTGTGGGTTTGTGAGGGAAAATTCTCGGTTTTGAGGGGAAAAATTTTAAATTTTGAGAAATAATCCAGGGGAAAAGTGTTGGGAAATTGGGAGAGTTGTTTTAAGGAGAAAAAAATGTTTGAGTTTGGGTAAATTTTGGGGATTTCTGAGGGAAATTTTGGATTTTTAGGGGAAAAATCTTAATTTTTAAGGGAAAATTGTGATTTCTGAAGGGAAAAATTGGATTTTTTTGAGGGCAAAATCCTGAATTTTGGTGAAAAATGTTGATTTTTTGATTGGAAAATTCTGGGATTTGAGGAAAAAATCACATTTTGAAGATAAAAAAATGATTTTTGAGGGAAAAATTCTGATTTTTAATGGAAAAATTCTGATTTTGGGAGGATTTGCGGAGCTTGGATCAGAATTTTATTTGGATTAAAGTGAAATTATTCCAATTTTTATCCCAATCTTTATTTTTTATTGGATAAAAACTGGAAATTTTCCATTATAGGACGTGGGGGAAAATACAAAAATTTGGATTTTATGGAAATATTTGCAAATGTTGAATTTTCAGGAATTTTTTTGGCCAAAAAAGGGAAAAATTGGGATTTTTTTTTTGGCATTTCCTTGGGTTTTTCAATTTTTTAATTTGGATTTTCCAGTTTTTAGTGCCCCAATGGATCTCGGTCTGGAATTTTCCCTTTTTTAGTGAAAAATCCCAGGGGAATTTGGCGTTTTTTAAGGATTTTTGAAATATTTTTGTGCCTTTTTTAACCCAATCCAGGTGGGAAAATTCATTCAGACTCCAAGAGTTTCATGGAATGTTTTGCTTTAATTCAAGCAAAAAAATAATAAATGAAAAATAAAATTAAAAATTCAAATTTTAACCCTTTTTTCCCCATAATAAATGAAAATAAATTCCGATTTTAACCCTTTTTTCTCCAGAAAAATTGGAATAAATTCAAGTTTTTACCCCTTTCCCCCAAAAAAAAAAAAAAATTCAAATTTTAACCCTTTTCACCCCAAAAAAAAAGAAAATAAATTCAAATTTTAACCTTTTTTACCTCAGAAAAATGAAAATAAATTAAAATTTTAGCTCCTATTACCCCAGAAAAATGAAAATAAATTCAAATTTTAATTCTTTTACCCAGGAAATTTGAAATAAATTCAAGTTTTAACCATTTTCTCCCAAAAAAGTGGAAATAAATTCAAACTTTAACCCTTTTTATTCCAGGAAAATGAAAATAAATTCAAATTTTAACCCTTTTTACTCCAGAAAAATTGAAATAAATTCAAATTTTAACCCCAGAAAAATAAAAATAAATTCAGTTTTTAACCCTTTACCTCCCCAGATATGAAAATAAATTCAAACTTTAACCCTTTTGCCCTGGAAAATTAAAATAAATTCAAATTTTAACCCTTTTTACCCCAGAAACATGAAAATTAATTCAGTTTTTAATCATTTTCTCCCCAAAAAATAAAAATAAATTCAAACTTTAACCCTTTTTACTCCTGGAAAATTTGAAATAAATTCAAATTTTAACCCTTTTTACCCCAGAAAAATGGAAATAAACTCAAATTTTAACCCCTTCCTCCCCAAAAAATGGAAACAAATTCAAACTTTAACCCTTTTTACCCCAGAAATTTGAAATAAATTCAAACTTTAACCCTTTTTGGAAAATATGGGCAAAAAATGGGCAAAAATGGGGGTTTGTGGGGATAAAATGGGGATTTATGGGGAAAAAATGGGCATTTGTGGGGGTTTCTGGCTACAACAGCCGGTGGGGAGGACATGGGCAGAACGGGCAAAAACGGGGGTTTGTGGGGAAAAAATGGGCATTTGTGGGAAAAAATGGGCATTTCTGGGGGTTTGTGGGGATAAAATGGGCAAAAATGGGGATTTGTGGGCATTTTGGGGGCTTTCTGGGCAAAAAAATGGGCATTTCTGGGGGTTTCTGCCTACAACAGCCGGTGGGCACGGGCACCAAACGGGCATTTCTGGGTAGAAAATTGGGATTTATGGGAAAAAATGGGGATTTATGGGCAAAAAATGGGGATTTATGGGAAAAAATGGGCATTTCTGGGCAATTTTTGGGCAAAAAATGGGCATTTGTGGGCATTTCTGGGGATCCCTGGGCACTTCCTGGGCCTTGGGGAGCCTTTCTGGA